TTTTTCGTTAACGATCGGTTTATCGTTTCGTATACGCGCAGTGTTGTTCAACATTACATAAACTACCGCTGTACGTGTTATGCTATTATATTATTAGGGTACGGATTTTAATGCGAATTGCATTTTTTTTTTTCTGAATGTCCTAAAGCAACATAATATATGCTTCCCGAGCGCAAATTTCGTTTCATACATCAATAAGAATTAAATTATGAAATTTATAATTTGCATTTTTTTTTTTTTAAGATTAAATTCCAAACAATATTAAAACTCAAGAACTCACACACGAAATGTTGAGAGAATATGAGGTTCGGCCAAACGGGGTAATAACAAGAAACGTAGAGGAACGGATCGAAATTGCTAAGACTCGCCACATGGCGGAATTTGTGTGTGGCGATCAAAACTAAATAATAGCGATTCGTTTGAAAGCATTTTAAAAGACGTAGCAGAATTTCGGGAATCACGGAAAGCATAAAAATTTTTATACGTTTTTTTAACAATATATCATTATTTTATATTTATTGTTGTTCCATTTTTTTTTTTATCTTAATATCATATCAACATATCGTCGAACTATTAGATAGATAAATATCCGTAAATAAACCAATTATTTTTCTATATCGGTTTATTATTATATCATTAATTATTTGTGATAAACACCTATGGTTAGGCACCTAACAGTAATGGTGCGCATTTTCCGTCGAATCATTTTATATTTATACGATGTGTTTAATGTTATATATGGATGGCGGGGCGATAACAAAACCCGAGTGGCGGGGCTACGAAGTTTTCAATCGCCGCGGCGGGGCTGCTATAACGAACCAGTGTACCCTACTTTTACACGAACGCTATTCATTGTATTAATATTTTCTAGACGGGGTATGATTTTTTAAAACCATTAAATATTTAAATATTCTATTGGTTTTTTTTTTTTTTTTTTTTTTGAGTTATTTATAGCATTTTCTCACGTATTTTATTTATATACCGCGCCAAAAATCTGAACTTTTTTTTACTACTCGGATGTTTTTGCACTTAAAATTATTATAGTAAAAATTACCGAATACGGTGCAATAAAAATATGCACTAAAAATCGTAAAATATGGATTTGTAGCTAAAAAAAAATCTGCACAAAATAATTAATTTTTATATTGCATATTAAATGTACGTACTAATACCTTGCGTTGATACGTGATAGGCTTTAGTTCAACACCAATGAAAAACTAAACACGATGAATTAATGTTATAGTTGTTATTTATACAATTCGATAATTTAAATTGTTCTAAAAAAAAAAAATGGTCAAAAAAATATACCAAAATATTCTTTAAATCCCAAAATATGCGTTTAAAGAATTCGTAACCGGGTCAGCATATTAAATCGAATAAATTGATAAAAATATGCAATTTTATATGCGTAAATCCGAGCCAACTATTCGTAATATTATTAAACACAACGAAATATAGATTATCAGCTACAGATAGCGCGCGCATTCTTGTCTACAAAATAAAGAATTACGATAAAAAAAAAAAAAAAATCGTGATTGGAACGTGAAGTAGTTGCTTTTTACAGGGGTCGTGCAAAGGGGTCTGTTGAAGCATTTTCCGTATGCGAGTCTGTGACACGCGTTTACAATTTTAGCGCTCCCAAAGTCGGCAATATAGTTGCGCGCACGAGCAATGTTGAATCCAGATATATGACGATGGGGGGGGGGCGTTAGCCCCCTTCCTGGAATTCGGTTCGTCCCCCTGTTCAAGTTTAGTTTTAGGAATAGAGAGTGGATCAGTAAAAAAAAAAAAAACACCTAAGTCATTACTAGCCCTCCCCAGAAATATTGTCTGGGTTCAACACTGCGCGCGCGAGCTTCGGTTGTACAGGTTACGGTTACCCGGGTCCGGCTCGAAGCACTTTTAGGGGCGCACCGCGACCGCGCGAACCATCGATTTTGCCGGATCGTAGGTACGCGCCCGAACCTAGCGACGGACGCGTAGAACGGTGACGATCGTTATCGTACAGAGATTCGTCCCGCGCGTTCAAACGTCAAATCGGCGAGTCGAAGACGCGTCCGGGCCGTCGACGGACGGGCGCGGCGGTCACCCGCTACCCGCAACGCCACACGACGTGGACGTAAAACACGAAATGGTACAGACGGAGCGATAGCGTGAAAAGTTCGGGTCGACTGCGACGCGGCCGCGGTCAGCGGCGTAGCAGCGAGTAGAGGTGTCTGGTTCTAACACCCCCTATTTCTTTTCGCGTCCGAATTGGCTGTGACATTGGCATGGTCGGGATGGCCGGCGCAAACCACCCGGAGCCTCTAACCGCCTGTGTCCCCCCACTGGCCTGGCCGCGCCGCGCCGCGACGGATAAAGAACACGGACGCCGTAATTATTATCGTCATAATAATACCATAACGGTATGCCGCCAAAGTACACTGCACCGCGGAGAGAAAACGAGCCGCGACAAATTCCCGAGGCGCGCATTGTGGAAAACGAGAATCGCCCGCATTCCGGGCGATAATGGGCCGCGAAAACAATTTCCCTGCGTACAGGCGTGATAATCGTTTAAAAATTCGCTGTACATTTTAGACGAGGAAAAAAAACGACCTGTTCCCCAACGGATTTGCGCGACGATTCAAATATAATTATCGCACGCGTTATTTTACCGTACCTTAACGGCCCGACCGAACCCACGGCTACGGGTACACGTGGTAATAATATTATCGTCTGCGTGTTTCGCCCGTACGGGGTCTCCGAAGCGGTTACGTTTCTCGGCGTTTTGGGCCGCCGCGGGATTTTACATGCTGAAAAAAAAAAAAACGACCGAAACGTGGAGAGAAGAATTTAATCCACACATATATCTATACGCAACGATAAACCATTGTTGCCAACAAAAAACGATTCGGAGCGAAGTTTCATTTATACACTTTCCCGGATTTTCCTACGTGTTTCCCGATCGTATTTCGAAAACCGCTAGGAAAATAAAAAAAAATACCTGGAAAGTGTACCGCTCGGATAAAATTTCCTTTTGGGAAAAAGTTCTACGCTTGAAAATCAGAGTAGAAATTCTGGTAGGAAAGTTGTTCACAAATAAAAAAAAAAAAACATCAATGTAAAACCAATAAATCCTTCGCTACGCTCCGAATCAAAAACGAAATACCTAAACGAAAAAAAAAGAGGCAAAAAATTCGCCCTTCGGCATTCACAGCATGATTTTTATGCGATAACAAGACAACACGGAATTCGTAGCTAAATTGTATTTGATATTAAAATGTTAATTCAATTTTAATTTATATTCAAATTTAATTAAAAATTTGATTTTATATTTAAAAAAAATAATAAATATTACCGTGAAGTGACGTGCAAGGGGGATTTCACATATTCGTGAGCATAACAGTGGCGCATTTAGCTATGCTAAAATGGGGGGCCCCACACCGACTTCGCTTTTAATAAAATAATTTTTTCTTGAAATTAACAAAATTAACCTACCAGCTGTATTGCGTTTTAAACATTTTAATAGTACAAATAATAATTACAATAATTATAATAGTTTTCTTTTCCGTAACACCGGGGTAACCGTCGAATAAACAAAAAAAATATAAATAAATAAGCAATAAGATATTCGTACCGAATATACCTAAAAAAAAAAAAACCAGTGTTTTGCCCCTTAGGGGTTGAATTTCCAAAAGTCCTTTCTTATTGCACGGTGAAAGTATTAGAAAAACCACTTTTCCGAAATTTCATGTGCGTACAGTTGAGTAGTTTTTGTAGTAGTTTTTGTGATACAGCGATCAGCGAGTCAGTGGTATTTGGATTTTTATTTGGATTTT